GAAGAATTTATTGAAAACAATTGTTCGCTCTAAATATTTTGTTCTGAATAAATTATGGGAATATTCAATTAACTGTATTGGGTGATTTTATGTATTCTTGCAGTCACTTTGGAATGTGTTCTCTAGCCTTGACCTGCAGAGATCTACGGGTGCTCCGTATCCACGTGTGACTATACATGCATGTAAATTTGTAAACACAATGGTATGTGGTACTATCGTTCGGATAGTGTGACAGAACAACATAAATCTCGTTTTCCTTGTAAATATGTGTTGCTCAAATACTTTACACGTTTCAGATAAATTAAGTCATTATTGTTCTTCTTAAATTCATAAAAGGAACCAGTTGCTTACAATTTCTGAACAGAAAACTTCCACCTTTCAGTTTCAAGAAGTTAGATGATCTTAAAATGCTTTTATTTGTCATTAGTGAAAGGATAATTTCACTGGCAATGATTTTCTCTAGGCGACATGGTAAGGGACTTCCGTAATTATTCAGAAACTGTTAACTTCTTACTAAATTTTCACTTGTGGCTAGCAGAATTCATTTGAGTCTATCAGTTGTTTTCTACACACCAAAGGAATTTAATATTCTTACCAGATAGTATTTAGAACACTAATGAATTCTTGAACGCTTTCAGTGTTCACAGTGTTTAAAGCTACTTCGCAACTCCACGTCATTTTTATGCCGAAATGCATCTTTTATTAAAATGCAGAAATTAACTAAAGGTTCATGTGTTAGACTCTTTGTAAATAGAGTCTAGTGTGTGTAGAAATATGCTACCGTGTGACCACATGAAACACACCAAGCAATTCAGAAGTCGAATCTGTAATACATTTATTAAATAAAGAAGAAAGAAAAAACTCATTAATGTTGGTGCCAATAGGCTAGTAGCATATCCTCCTATGACTTTAGTGGGTAAATACTTCACACAGAACGTGTTCCCGCCGACTTTGCAGAAGGTGTGGAGGTAGAGAAAAGTATCTACTCTGTGAAACTGCTAAATAAGGGAGGCTCTGGTCTCTGCAAGAATTAATGTAGAATCGCACTCCTGTCCATCCTAGGCAAAATATCAAGCCGCGTCATTCTGGGGAGACTAGAAGGTGTAGTGAACTAAAGACATTGCTGTGTTCAAGCTGAATTCAGGAAAATTAAATCAAATATCTACTGAATTGCAACACTATGCATCATCACAGTCAAACAGAGCGTATAATGGCAGTAAAATCTCTACCTCAACTTCATCGACTTTGAAAAGGCCTTCTACAGAGTTGACCAAGAAGTAATCTGGAAACTAATTCAACACCGAGGAGTGCCTCAACTCTTTATCAACCTCATTCAAAAGTCACAAGACAATGCCACATGTCAGGTGATTCACAACACAAGGGTGAGAGAAGCCTCTCAAGTGAATACAACAGTAAAACAAGACTGCCTATTATCACCGATGATATTCCTAACCATGGTGGACTGAATTATGTAGAGAACTGTGGGGAGTGAGGAGATAGGCAAGCGTTGGACTGACAAAAAGACCCTAGAATATTTGAATTTTTGCGAATAATTGATGTCTCTTGTCTCACAAAGACTGAGGAGAGAAAATCAGCAATCTGGTAGAAGAAGAAGCGAAGACAGAACTTCTAGTGAACATAGAGAGGATAGAGGTGATGATACCTAAGCAACAACAACAAGCGGCAATCATCGTCAGTGAGCGTAACCCTGAAGAAGTCACCTCCTCTGCTTACTTAGTCAGTACAGCTCCAAGTACGGACAGCACGGATAATGATGTAAAAGCCAGGCAGGATTGGAAAAACAAGACAGACCTTCATTAATCTGAATTCAGAGTGGAAAACTGCTGGAATTAGTGCAAGGGATGGGATTTGGATTTTTAGCACTAATGTTAAGTCATTGCTTCTGTTTGGTTCAGAGACCTGGCGCGTTACGAAGAGAATTTCCAACACGCTGCGGATTTTTATTGACAGCTTCCTTCGTTGCATACCGAAGACCAGATAGCCAGAAAGAACTAGCAACAAGAAACTCTGACAGGCAAAGAACCAGCAGAGAACCCATCGCCAAAAATTTTTCAGCAGGAAATGGAGATGGATTGGATACACGTTGGGGAGAGGATCACTAAGTAACACCTCACGCTAAGTCACCGATTGCGGATAGAATGGGAAGCGACGGAGGGGCATTATGTGAAGAAGAAGAAATGAAAGCATGACTGTAGTTGTGGAACCAGTTGACAGTGATGATAGAGAAACGAGTGCAATAGGGATGTGAGGCTAAAAGTTTTCATTCTCCTCAGAACGCAAAACACTACAATACCAGTAATAGAACACTTCAAACGTTTAATGCCATTTGTACTGTCCTTTTATGGATAGATAAAGATCTCGATATCCCATTCAGCAAAAAATAACTTTAGTCATCTAAGATTACTCGTATGCAATTAAAAATCCTCAGTGTTTCAATTACAGTAAGTAACAAGTCATCAGCTTAATTACTTGCCATTTTAGATACGTTTTAATTAACATGAAATTGCCAAACACTTGAAAATTAAACCAGTATAGTTGTAGGTTGATATATAATAAGTTTACTGAAGACAATAATCGACAATTACAACTAATATATTTCTATCATTTGTAACTTCTACAATCTTACTGAGACATTACAAATGCCTTCAGTATAATTCAAGAAATCAATGAAAAGTGTTTAAGTAGATCAAAACTTAATGTAATAATATACTATTACAAAACTTTCTATAGTTTGGTTTGTAAGGGTTCGTTATGGTTTTACGAGTTGATCACGGATTGATATCAGTCAGAGAACCATTGAAAACCAGCACCGGAGTACTGGAAAGCTGCTGTTTCATCCTAGTTTGGGAATCATCGGCAGTACGCACCCACCACCTTGGTTCGAACCCAGGACCTTCCGGTTACAAGGCAAGCTCGTATACCATTCAGCCACTGGGACCCGATTCAATGGCTCATGAATTCTAACTTCTACCAATTCGTGATTTAGCGCGACTAACCCTTACAAACCAAACTATAGTGAATTAATCTGATGCTCGCTAGTGACTTGCTACAGGATTGAGTTTCCTGGAGTTCTAGTGAGAAATCGTGACCAGTGAGGTCCAATTAGATGCCACGTGTGTGGATGGATGTCCCACTGATGATAACGGTTTGGGTCGCGCTAAATCACGAATTGGTAGAAGTTAGAATTCATGAGCCATTGAATCGGGTCCCAGTGGCTGAATGGTATACGAGCTTGCCTTGTAACCGGAAGGTCCTGGGTTCGAACCAAGGTGGTGGGTGCGTACTGCCGATGATTCCCAAACTAGGATGAAACAGCAGCTTTCCAGTACTCCGGTGCTGGTTTTCAATGGTTCTCTGACTGATATCAATCCGAGATCAACTATTACAAAAACTTGTTTCATTTTTGTCTTTCTTTCTTGACAGTACTTTTTACTTTCTCATATTGACGTACGTTGTTTAGTACCATTCTGTTTTACAGTCGTCGCTACTTTAACAAAAATCACTAATACCAGTTTTTTCACCCCCATCCACTTTATCTTAGCATAGTTTGATTTTCTTCAAAAAGAAACATTCCTAAAAATGAATAAAGAACATTCTTTCAGTACATTTCTTTCAGTTTTCCTTACTCGTAGATATAATCCTAGGAAAGTTAGAAAATTAACTTCTCTGGGATAAAAGTGTCACTACCAATTTATGCAGCCAGTTTGCAAATCATATCCTTTTAGGAACGTGAATTCAGTTTACTTAGCAATTAATCATTGAACGGTTAATTTGATTTACAAGTGAATGTGAATTATATGTTTGTGAGTTTGCGGATTTATGGTTAATGATAAAAAGGATAGTTTTGTAAGAAAAACGTACTCGTAAAAGGTTGATCTTTGTACACATGCCCCAATAACTTTGCGATTACATAGTATTATCACAGTGTAACAACAGAAGACAAGGGCCAGGCAACAGATCGTTTATTAAGGAAAATCAACACATATTTATAGATTTTAATGTACATTATTGTAGATTATTGTTAGTAGAAAATACAGTCTCTTGACTGATTGTTTCTCACACAAAATTAACCTTGCATCTCTTTGTGGCTGTGTCAGATCATCTATATGCTAACTGTATCCGCCTACGTAAAGTCTGCTGTCCATCTTTGACCTTGTTTTCACATGACTAATATTTGAGACATAAACATTGACGTCAATTACTGTCTAGTAATTTGGCTAGCAACCATCTCTCACCACAACAGTTGTATATGACACGTAGAACTCGCAAAACATTCATTTAAATCTAAACAGTTTGTTGAAAGAAACCAAGGGGTATTCGGGATACAGCTATCCAAATAATTTTACTGAAGTAAAGTATAAATTAATTCGCTACCTGACCTTTTAATAGGGGAGAGACTACTACCCTTCAAGAATTCACTATTCTAAATAAACAACTGAAGTGTTATGTTTCTTCACTATGATAAAAATGACATCATTCTTATCAGAAATTTTCTACTTATAACAGATCACTGACACTCATTGACAAACCAGTAAACTTCATCTACATCCAGAGAATGGTTATACATTTGTTAATAACCCGAAACAGTGTTTTCTGTGACGTGATGTGTTCCAGGACTAGATTAAAACAGAGTCTTCCTAAATCTCCAAAATGTGGAAGCTCGGAAAAACATAATTAATTAACTATTCTATAACTCTGCTTCCAGAAGAAGAATTATCATGAGCTACTATTTTTATTCAGTTTTTCAAGGCATCAAAAACACTGTTTCACACTTCTTCGATTTTATACTATCTACCTTACTCTTTTAACATAATTTATCCTTAACAGCTCCCAGTTTCTTTCACATTCAGATAAGTCTTAAGTATCAAATTTCTGATAGAGTTTCGCTAATGATGGTCACAATAATAGTAGTATTGAGTAGTTCTAATCCATTTATTTTGAATAATTCACTCAAAATTTATTGCTTTTTTAAAATTCATATGATTCACTGTAATACGTAAGCGCTTGTCATGCGCATACCTTAAACTTGAGCTGTATTATTGATTTATTATCTGTCATGCTACCTACGTTAGTTATTCTTACAATTGATCATCATTCATTTGAGGCTATTTTTAATATACCATAATTAACAAGCAATTTTGAATTCAATACAATGAGTGGTGGTTGTAATGAAAGCTTGAATTGTGATAGGATTCGAACAGACAGCCTCCTAATTACTAGCTGGTGCTCTATCGACTGATGTTTGGGACTCAACTGCTAACTAGGTCACTAATCCACATTGGTCCTTAGGGGTAATGCCCAGTTTTCATGTGAAATGGCTGTTCAGCTAGGTCTTCGGTCAATGCTAATTATGCCGAATCAGTAAGAGAGAAGCATCTTTTTTAACTGACTGATTGTATTAATTGTGAATAAATGTCCTAGTTAAACTTCCTATACATTTGCTTATTATTATTATTATTATTATTATTATTATTATTACAGGTATTACTAACACCCTTACAATAACTAATATAATAATCATACTAATATAAGACCTGAAGATAATTCAATCTTCCCAAATAAAAGTTCATTTTAAAGGTGGTCTGGCCTAATGAAACAAATGTCGTAAAGATAATCCTTACATGACTCATTCATTTACGAAATATTTCTAGAGTATTTATATTTTTTTCATCCTCAAAATTTAGCAATTTCCCCATTAAAACTCTCTTATTACTTTCCCTAATCCATGTCTCGCTTTTAATTGATTTTTTCACCTTTCTACTATTGCCAGCTTTGCTTTACATGTTGTTGCGAAAAAGGACAGTTAGGACAGATAAATCTATCATTTATGCACAATTCCTAGCTAGTTAAGCAATCATCCTCACACTCCAATTTGGTCCTGAAATATGCTCCGTAATTTTGACGATCATTTCTAGTACTTTGCTTTGCCTTTGGTATACGCGGAGCGAATACTATAGGAGTTGTAAGTATTTGATCTTGCGTTGGTTAAAAATGTACTATCTGTGAACGTCAACACCCTCAGTATCTAAAGTACCTATATTACAAACGGGCTTGGCTGAATGCACTTACAAAAGATTTTAAAATATGAAACAATGGTGGGGATTAGCCATAATCGATTCACACAATGAGGGGAAGGAAAAAAATGACAAGTCAGTTCAAGGTTATAAAAGGTGTCAGGTGTGTGGCTAGTACAAAGTAGTATGTATTAAAGAGGAGATAGTAAGACTACAATGAGAAGTTCATCATGAAATAACCAAAACGGGAAATGAAACAAATGGAGGTATATATTGGGAAAGGACGTAATAATATTAAGTCCGGATAGTATAAATTCGATAGTATTGAGAGAATCTTTGAATGAAGGGTATGAATTACAACGAATAATAGTATAATTGCAATAGTAAGCAAATCAAAAAAACCAAGTGGGATAAGGGGAAGTGATATCTGAACATGTTCGTTTTGGATACAAAGTTCTGGTTTAGTTGATCTTATTGCAACAGATTCAGCTATGTGTAGAAGACGTAAGCAAACTGTACGTAATAACGACTTCAGAATTCGGTGTATAACCCTGAAAGCTGTGTTGACATCAATGCAATATCCAGTATCGACCAAGTGTGACTGAATCGATCTTTTTAATGCACTTAATTTCCTCCATACTGAACCAAGCTGGTAAATGTTCACAAACTCGTAGACGAACTTGCCTAATCGTGCGCCCTATACGACTTGAACCACAGGAACAGTTGAAATGGTATCTGCATGAAGAAGAGCTAGGTTAGGTAAAACATCTTTCAGTTACTGACTGGACACTGAACGGCCACTGAACGATAGGAACAGATGTGCAGAGTAGAAAGTTTTCTTGATCGCCCTGGTTAAACGTTGAGATAGAATCTCCACAGGATTATCTACCTTGAATTGGAGACGTAAAAATAGAGGCTTTTTCTTCACCATTGCCATTTCATGTTTACGACTATTGTAACCAATGTTGGCTTTAATGAACTTCTCTAAATATGCGTTCTCGCTTAGAATGTCCCGGATGACCTGGAGTTCTTTCTCCACAGAGTTTTCGGAACAAATGGACCTCGCTATAAATGCTAAGCACCTGATCAGATTACGTTTGTATTTCATCGGTACTAAGCTAATGAAGTGTGTATATTCAGCTTTGGTCTCTACCTTTCTAAATATGGCTCTTTTGATGGAGCCATCCTCTCTTCTCGTTAGCAGGACGTCGATGAAGTGTAGAGAGTCGTTGTATTCTCCTTCGTAGGTGAAATGGACCGCTAGGTGTGCATTATTAAGATATTAGCTGTATAAAAAGTCTTTTTAACAGCAGCTTTCAGTCTTTGTCTAGTTATCAAGCTGCTATGATGCCCCATATAGGGTAGCTTGATGTGCACGTCTTTCTTAGGGGCGAGTTGGAGAGTGGGTCTTGGTGTTCTGACTACTTTATATCTCCTGATGAACTTGTCTGGATAATTGTTATCAACCAGAGTTTGTGTCAACATTCTTTCTTCCGCATCATCTGTGTCTTCAGTGTATATGCGTTGGATTCTACTGAAGAGGCACCTTACTAAGGCTCTTTTGTAGCGAAGAGGGCAGAAACTGTGCTAATTAAGATACTTTCCTATCCAGGTAGGTTTTCTATAAATAGATCTTTTTATTGACCCATCAAACCGTCGACTAAGCAATATGTCTAGGAAAGATAAACAATTATCTTCCTCTTCTACAGATATAAGTGATATGCTATTCTGAACTTCATTCATTCGATCTAAAATTGAGGTGGCAGAACAAGACTTATCACTGGTGATTACAATATCATCTACATACCTTCTATAAAGTGGCACATTTTCGATTAAATCCTCTGATAAATTTTCAATGTACGACATATAAATATCTGCTAAAAGGGGCCATAACGGACTTCCCATTGCAACACCATCAACTTGGCGGAAACAATCGCCTTCAAACGTATACCTAACATTGTTAGTACATAGAAGTAATAAATCCCTTAAATGAGATATAGGGAACGGGATGAAAAAATTGTTTATGGAAATATAATCACACAAAATGTCAACTGTTTTGAGCAAAGGCAGATTAATGAATAACGAGTTTACATCAAAAGAGTACATATTCTTATTCATAATATTACTATTGTCAAGAAAATCAACCAATTCAAATGTATCTTTTAACACATACTTACAGAATTGTGTTTTGACTGGATGCAATAATTCAACTAACCATTTAGCAAGTTTATGTGTTGGGAATTTGCACATTGACAATATAGGACGTAGAGGATTAGTGGGCTTATGTATTTTTGGCAAGCCATACATATGCGGGCATTTACATTCTGATGGCTTTAAAGAGTCAAATTTATCTTTACTTATAGCATTTGGGCCATGAAGCTTCACTAGATTAGCTGTCACTGTGCCCTGCAACAACTGAACAGTTGCTCCATTATGGGTAAATTTTATTTTGATAAAGTCTCACAGTGTTATACAGTAATGTTCAGTAAACATTACTGTATAACACTGTGAGACTTTATCAAAAGAAAATTTACCCATAATAGAATTACACTCTACCAAAGTGCACAAGTTTTATTCTTATATCAACTGAACAGTTGCATTTAAGATATTATAGAATAACTGGAATAACTATCAAAAATTAGTATTGTCTGAAATGATTTGTCCCAGTGCAGCGAATCAGTTCGCCTGCTCACCCAACTTTTTCAGTCCCAAACTAGAAAGAAGATTGTTAGCTCTTTACCTAGATCTCTTTGTATAGCACTATTGATTGGTGTGAATCATTAACAGGTACTAACATCAATCAGTAGCATCTTTTCTCGACGAATAGCTAATCAGATAATCAGCAGTTGTTTGTGTATGAACAGACACAGGTCAGAAAATGACTACTATTGGATTTCTACTATTTGGTCCTGGTTGCCACCTTCCTCATACAAGGTTGTAGATGAGCACTCTTGAAGAAGTCTACGCGGAAAGATGCTTTGTACTTTTCAAAAGTTTTCTAACTGATAGGGACCTATGATAAAAAAAATGATAAAAAGAAAGAACTCATGGACAGTTGGGTTGGGTCCCAGTGGCTTCATGGTATACGAGCTCACCTTGTAACCAGAAGGTCCTCGGTTCGAACCGTGGTGGTGGGTGCGTACGGATGAAGAGTCCTAAACGAGGACGAAACAGCTGTCCAGTACTCCCAGATTTTCCACTGGTTCTCTAACTAATGTCACCTCATGATGAAATCCTGTAACCAATCAAATCCCCACAAACCAACACTTGAAAAAAATCTAACGTAAAATGGAGTATAACTAAACGATAATACTTCGACTTGTAATTACTTTTACATCACGTTCTGGTGGTTTTGAGTAGCATACATTTGGAAATTAGATGCAATTAATCGCACAGATGTTGGTTTTTATTATTATCTTACTGAACTGCTACTGTCTTGTATTGAAGATAAAAGTGATTTTCGGCTGGTTTCCTCATTTTTATTGATTTCCTTTGGAGTTCTCAACATACTGTACACAACTCATTATTATATACAGAATGAACCTCAAGTGAACCCTCCAACTTTCAATTCCTTTCATTGTACCACTGATAGAATTCATTCCATAGGAAGTAATACATTCCTTTCGTGTGAATAAATTCTAGTGTACTAGTTTTCGTCTATTGCTATAGATTAATTAATAGGCATCGCGATTAAATATTGTTTTTGTTAAGGTGACCCACCAAAGTATGGACTTTGTCAAGGTCACAAATCACATGTTAGTCAGGTGACTGTTTTTGCTAAATATGGATTTGTTTTTTTCCATGTTGTTGTTGTTTATGGAATTCCAGAAATTCTTTACTATCATCTCAAATGATTGACTGTGCAAAATCAAGAAGGCAGTTAATAGTGAATGCTGGATATTATTATAATTGTTACTACTGCTCTGATTACCAGTAGTACTATTTTTTTACAAACTAAATAGTTTTGTAGTCCATTGACTAA